AAAATCCACATCCTGATCATACATTTTGAACTTTTGAGAAATTTTGCAGCCCAACCTTTCACTGAAATTACTAACGGATGAAAAAATTTCATGAAAAACTAAAATATTCTGAAGATATTAAAAAAATGTTCTCGAAATTACGAATACATTTGCGGATTCCCTTTGCATATACTGTACGTTACTTTTGTTGAATTAAATCCGATGAATGCTAACTACAGTTTTAAAGCTCGTATACCCATTAAAAACAGTTTTTTTTTCAAGTTTTTAAAAAGAAGGCATTGAAAACACGTATAATACTGCACTTGATTGTTTGATTTCTCCAGAAGAAAGGAATCCTTTTTAGTCAGAGCCTTTCAAGCCAGGATGATATTTATGCGCAGAAATTTAGAGAAAGCCCTCATTAATTTTTAATCGGATTTTTAAAAACTAAATTCGGCAATGCCCAATTCAAATAAAGCAATTTTTGAAATCCTACATTTAAGAACAAAGGTTTGAAAATGGTTCATAAAAACGTGACTGTCCAATGTGAAACATTTTCTAGAATAATTTTGCATTAATTTAAATATCCTTTCGTGCAGATTGCTTTCAAAATACGAATGCAGTATACGTGTCATGCAAAATTCGCACCTAAACCTCATCTTCTGGTAAGTGATTCAATGTGCTTTCAAAACGTCCGCCACATTGCAGCCCATGTTGGCAATAAATGGGAGCAGTGACTTGGAAATTATCAAGTATTATCACTGATAAAAATGGGTATACGGAATCATTTACATCTATCTAATAAAAATACCAGCATGGGAAATAATAAGAGACTGATGCGCGAACCAACCCTCGTAATTTTTCAGATTTCCTGTCCAACAAAAGTCGAGACTGAAATTTTGTTTCGTTCGTATGATTTGATTAAATTAATTTTTAATTCCCGAAGCATTATTATCGAATCTCGTGCAATAATTCTTTACAAATGAAACTGGAACTCATTTGCACACGGAAACCTTCGCCCGGAAAATCGCATTGCATTATTAATTCGCATTTTCACATTTTACGGACTCCATTTGCTCATATGACTCTAAATTATGCACATTTTTTCACAAATCCAGGAGCTTGACATGTCAAGTAATTGTTTTCAGCAGCAAAAATAAAGAAGCTTCCCTCGCCTATTCTTTCTTTCTTTTTGTTTTGCTTGAAAATGATACTGAATTCATAGAAAAATTTCTGCTGCTCATGCAAAAAGAATGCAAATTAAACTCACGCGTTTAGTTCGAAAAAATTATGCTGCTCCTCTGATCGGCATTGCAAATGAGCCCGCTGATCTTCAACCGATTTCCGATGATGAAATACGTACTAATCCTCGGCAATTTTCGTTTCTGTTGCTGGTTCTTATTGTGTTTTTAAATGGTGAATTACTATCTGCGAAACCGCAAGCAATGCGTAAGCTCTTTTCGTTAAAGTGAGACAACGTTATCTCATCACCGTATATATACGAGGAGCTACACGGTTCCACGCGGGTCAGCTTGTTGCTGCTGTTCTGGTGAAGCTTCACAATTCAGCAACTGAACATTTCAAAGGCCTGTTCTTCAACTCAAGAATCAAAAGGGCTGAGAATTGTTCACAAGTGATGACATTGAGAAGGTGTCCGCTTAGCATCTTGGTACTATGACAAAAATGTGTTTTTAAAAAAATTCTTGGTGTTCAGATCATTTCAATTCCGCGCCGAAACGAGTCCGCTCGGAAACGTGTAGGCCCTCGTATGATGAAGCGCGATAAGAAAATGCGTTTTTCCTCCACACATCCATGTGTACGGTATATAGAAGTCGAGCGTCAAGAACGCGGTTATATGAAGGGAAGATACATCCTGGATAATTGCGCGACACGGGTAGATGAAAACCCCTCGGCATTCCTGAGGCAGGTCGCGATTTTCCACGTAATCACGTCACGTTCCTGCGNAAGAAATGAAATGGTGGACGAAATTCGCTTGTGCCGTAAAGACTTCATTTTTGCTCCTTTTTTTTTCCTCCCCGGCAAGCCACAGGCAACAATTTTTTATCGCCGAATACTCGTTTCAATATCAAACACGCACTTTTCTTTCATCTCGATCCTTACTTGATTCACAGAACGGAGAGCGAAGAGCGATTCCCCAAGACAACGGCACTGAAAGCGAAACACCGACAGCTAGATATTGCTCTACGGAATGACATACAGTCTCTTTTCCGATCAATGTACTCAATCCGAAGATGCACCCCACCGCTTTTTTCTCTTGTGATTTTTCCTCTTCTTTTTCTTTCCTCGCATCACAGGGGATTTTCTGTTTCTTTCTTCCCAGCGAGAGGATAAAATTGCTCTGCAAAAATTTATTGGCTTTTTTTCGCGACGGCGGAGTGATCAGAATCAACGTCCAACAATATATAGCTTCTAGCCGTTCAGGCCAGTGAAACCTAAACGAGACTTAAATCTTCTTCTTTCGGCAACGATATTTCAAAAAATGCTTCATCGCCGTGATACTTGCAATAATTCCACTCCGCAACGATGGTGCAAAATATGAGACTCTTTACATCACAGCCGTTTCGAAACACCGGCGATAGTTTCGGCCCGAACTGTACATCATTGATGAATTCCTTTGCACCATCGGATTGCGGCAATCTCGGTTCGATTCTTTCTTTTTTTTTCAAATAATTTAAATTTTTTTTTCACCCCTATGAACAAGAAAAACGACGCCCTCAAGCACACCAGCACCCTTCCATACACGGTTTTTGTTTTGTTCCAACGTTCATCTCACTCAATGTTTTGAGAACTGCTCGCACCAAAACAAAAAAAAGAAGAAAACCTATAGAGCAGCAATCATCGCTTTCAACTCACGAATACACGGAAACCAATAAAATAAAAATATACGCCCGTTCGGAAGTCCACACACAGGGGGAAAATCGTTTGCTGAAAATTACCAGGGAGAAGGCAGTCACGTTTTGCTAAAATTCGAAAGAAAAAAAAACCTCGCAGATCCACCGATGAGAAATTTAACCTTTGAAAACGAGAACCCAGCGTTCGTTCCGACAAGCAGCGACATCGCGTTTCAAAAGAAACAGACACCCGGACAGCGTTCGGCCAGCCAATGAGTCCTTCTCCCACAGGGTGTCGTTCCTTCTTGCTACACGCGCGCGCACACACATTCACACACGCGGAGAGATACCAGCAGCAGCAGCATTCCAAAATTCTTCGCGAATTCCAAATTCCATCTTACTTTTGACGATTGAAACCTTACGGAAGATTCTTTTGAAGAAGTTTACTGGTTATACGTCCTTTGACGGAACATTGCTGTGATTTCCTCAATGCCCTTGTTTTTCGTTTCGGGCACGAATTTGTAGGTGAATGCAGAAAAGAAGAACAGCAGACCGGAAAAGATTAAGAACACGTACGGGCCCATTTTCGACTGAAAAGAGAAGAAATGTACGAGATGAATATCATTTGATTCTCATGCATACCAATTAAAAAATAAGGAAGATTTAGAAACTCGCTCTTCACCCAGGCAAAAAATAAATTATAAATAAAATAGACCGAACCTCTCTAGAATGACATTCTATATCAGCTGTACAACATTCTCTTCCTCTTATTTTTTTTATGCATTGCGTCCTCAACGCCAAATTAATTCAATTGCATTTAATTTCAAATGTAGAGGGACTTTACATGCAACTGAACTGAATGCAACCCCAAAACATTAAAAATAAGGCTTAAAAATCTCGTTTTGTAGCCAGATTAATTTGCTCGCAATTTTCACATGATTTTTCACATAAAATACTTGAATTCAACTCCACGGATAAATTCTGGAATTGCACTTCCTTCAACAATAAAATGCTTTCAGGGAATATTCGAATGCTGAAATTCCACTTTCTCGGTAAAACAATTTCTGATTCAAAAAGGTAAAAATGCAGCTGCAAAATCAAGTTGATCACTCGTTCAGAATTTTTTTCTTCTGGCCAAGGGGAAAAATACAAACACGAGGCTTCAAATCATACGTACTGTACGCACACAGTTCTATCTCTCAACTCAAAGATTAAAATTTTCTCTCACTACATTCAAGTTAAAGGGAAAACAATGAGTGTAACCCTGGATATTTACTCAGTGTTACTGGGAAATAATTGAGGAAATCAGCACTCACGGCAAGAGGAAGAAAGCCGAGTCCCACAATGANACCAGAAATACTTCAGATCACGACTTTTAATACGCACAAGTTTTGCATCAGAAACAAGCCCCATTATCAACTTAATCGATACGTAAATTTACAAAAAGTAACCATAAATTAGAGAAAAATAGCATCGGTTGAATAAAATGATCGTACTTGTTCTCTCTCAGCTTATTCGTGCATATTTTAGCGATGGATTTGCCATGAAGACATGACAGAACATCACTTGCCGCCTTCAAAATATTCAACACACCTTCTAAAGCAAATTCTTCATCTGATTGTGAGACTCGTTTCCATATTACTCCAAGCAATTTTAAAAGAAAATAATCATGTACGATCATTCTCAACTCATGAGGAAAATAGTTCTGTAAACTAACTCGTGAGCGACATGAAATAGAAAGTTCAATCAAGTCATTCATGAAAACTGATTTCTAGAAGCAGCACCGATCTCTGACACATCCTGCAAGTTTCGAATCCGGGCAGAATCATACTTTCGTTGTACACTATACCTTCAAGATCAAGCAAATAGTCAGCAGGATAGTGCAGATAAACATGCCGATGAGACCAATCAGCAAAAGTGTCTTTCTTCCTGCTCTTTCCACGAGTACCAAAGACAAAATCGTCATGCAAACGTTCATTGCTCCCATGCCGATAGTAGCAGATTCTGACTGCGACAGAGTCAAGCCTGCCGACAAGAAAATCTGCGTCGAAAAGAAGATGGCCTGGAAAGGACAAAAGAAAATTGTTTTGGTCATTAAACTCAGAAGTTTAAATCAAAACAATGCTGGTCTTTGATGTTTAAAAAAAAGGAATAGAGAAACGTACGCAATTGATACCAGACAGCTGCTGGGCAATCATCATCATCATGGAAATGATCAGTGGGAACTTCAACGACGGGTTCGTCGCCATTTCTCGTAGGGTAACGGTTGGAACCAGCTTCATGCTTTCGTACTCGTTTCTGATTTCTTCCATCTCGTCCAAGACCTCCACACTTTCGCGGAGCCAAGTCAAAGCTATCGAAATAGATTTCCAAAACAAAATTGAAATAAAAAAATCAATCTTTAATGATGAGAATAGTGAATACTGTATGACAGTATTTCACATGGTTCGTCCCATTTTCAACAACAAAAAGCCGAAAATGGGGATCAAATAAACTAAAATCAACAATTGGAATCTTCCGATGATAAAAAATACTGAATATACAATAGTACTATAATACAGTGTGTCACATGGTTCGTCCAATTATCAGCAACAAAAAGAGCCGAAAATGGATGTAGATAAAAAATTTTTTCAATTAACCATCGAAATTCCAATAATGAGAATACTTTTCTAAATAATTTAGTGCGTCACGGGGTTCGGTCCATTATCACCAACAACAAAAGAAGCCGAAAACTTGGACCAAAGATAATGCGTGAACATTTCCCCTGTTACGAATTGAGAGGAATACCTTCAACAGAAGACAATAAATTTTGAAAATGACTGCGATCACCCCAATTATACATTTTTCGGCAAGCATCAAACTAAAAAAAAGGGGAACATTTTTTTTTGACTGCTTCAAATCTTGCGTAGAAAGGCCAGAGACATGTGTTAAAATGGGCGAAGAATTTGTCTGAAAATTTAAGAAGAAAATAAGTTTTAAAATTTTAAATGTCCACAGCCGCGAATACACCCATTGGTCCAATTGCGCTCGAGGATTTGACATCCCGAATCGATGACAGTTATCGTTTCCTGCTTCAAAAATTTATCCATCATCCCCTTCAATCAAATTAAAAAAGATCCACGATTTCGAACATGACTAGCTAATGAAAAAGCAAAGTGAAACCAAGTGTTACACACAGAATCCAACGCACGACGTCGGCAAACACAGTCGAGCATGTTGCTCGAAGTGTGCACAAGGCAAAAAAAAAACGTTCTACTCAATTCAATGCATCGTTCAATCTTGCCACAAAACCCCCGAAGAAGTATTAGGTTTTTGTTGTCATTAAATTTTTTTCATTTACCCTTTTGTGCTTCCACTTCTTTGCCCTGAGCGATGAGGATGTACTTGGGCGACTCGGGGCACAAAGGCAGGGTGATGAGCTGGAAAATAGCTGGCACGACTGTCAACGCCAGTAGCAGTGGCCACGTGTCGGCTGTGCCAAGAACAGACTGGATCCCGAGTATTTGACTGGCCAAGATTGATATAGTGACGACAAGTTGGTATGCAGTGCCGACCTGTGCGACAGAAGAAAAACGCAAACACGGGGGGTTTCCTCAGCTTCATTTTTTTGCCTCCCCGACTCTTTCATTAAATGCGACGATGAGAGGAGGAACGTTCACTGCATACGAAAAGAGGGAAGATAAATGGCACAGGAGTTTTGAGACTCAAAATTTCACAGTTCTCTAGTTTGAACGCAAAACAATAACCAATAAAATGTCATTTGACACAGCAGGTTCATCAATGCACAGAACTGAATGTAGCAGGGCTGAGCACTTTCAGAAATTATGCTTACCCTACAATTAAAAAGCGATTTTTAGGAAATTTTTAGCAACGGGTTTCTTGCCACTGCTGAGAGCAAAATCTTCATGATCATTGGGCGAATTCGCAGTGGTTATGCTTTATTTAGCAATAGTATTGTTTCAATTGGTAGAATGCTTCTACCATTTAAAAACAATAAATTTAGAAGCTAGAATAGGTTCGAAATTTTGTTCCAGACAATTAGAAAATTGGCCCGCTGCAGAAATTTTGACCTACGGATGAAGGAGGGGGAAAATATGTGTTGAGGGAGAGGGGATCTATAAAAAAATATGGAATTTTTTTTCCCCCGAAAATTTGATCGAAGAGAGGACACCAATTCGGCACTTTGAGTTTTTCAAATCATGAAGAATCAACTTCACCAAGTCCAACTATCCGAAATGAGTACTGTAAATTATTTCAATGCGTGAATAATTTACTCATTCATTTTCAGCACGAAGAAAAAAGCAGATGAATATAGGCATTCAATTTCCATAATTTACACTTAGATAGATTGTCAGCCATGAATGATTCGAAGGTTGAGGAAAATCAATAGGAGAAAATCCGAACTATTGACTTAGAACTGCAAGATATATTTTTAAACTTTCAGAATTTGAACAAAGTGCATATCTTTAAAAGTAACCGCCTCGTGAAAAAATCCCTGAAAAAGGGAGTGATTTTCAGACGAGATCTCATCGTGATGATGAACATTTTTATCTTGTTTTATTTGGGGGCGCCGAATAATTGTTTGATCAAAAGTTTAAGAGTTATTGATAATTCGCGGCGGTTTTATTGTTCGGAACCTCCGCCGATTATTTTATTTTGAAGAGTTTGAAAATGTACGGTACTGAAGTACAGCAGATGGTGAGCGTCGAGTGCTCCAACGTGACAGTTTTTAACTGATTATATTCCGGAAAAGTAAAAATATTATTACCGCTCCACGAAGGTGAGTGGGTGAGACTTCAGTGAGATACATCGGTGCGATGCCAGCGTTGATTCCGGAATTCAGCCCGATGAAGAACCGACCAGCAATGATCATCTCGTAAGAACCGGCCATCTTTGAGAATCCCAATAAAGCCGCGGCAACGAAAGCGAAAGCGTTGTTCAACAGCATACCTCCCTTCCTATACAACGAAGAGAAAGTCGTTATAATAGACACTCATCCCCCTTTTCCCAAAGATTTCATGTACAGTACCATAAAGGAAAGTTAGAAATTTTCGCCAGAACCTTGACAATTTATTTTACTAGTTACTGAAGCTAAGGAGTCAGAATTCTCCCAAAAACTCTTTGGGACCGATAAAAAGTCTTCGTTGATTGATTGCGATTTTAGTTGATTGCAGCCCTGACTTAAAAGCCAGCTTCTTGCTTACCGATTTGAAATTCAATAGAAACCCTTAATTTTTTCCTCACCGGCGCAGAACTTTCTAGACCAGAACAAATTTTCAAAATTCTAACAAGGATTTTAGATTCGGGGAGTTTCATATACACAGCGAAGTCGTACCCCATTATAATACGCCCCTAAAAAGTCGCAATGTCAATTTATTTTGAGAAACAAATCTTCCCAGATGATGAAAACGTTGGAAATCTTGTTAAAACGCCATCCGCCTTAAACACCGAAATAACTGNTAAAAATATATTTCCTCCACCTCGATCAAGAATAGCCGAGAAATAAAATTCCCTTTTCTTCCTATTCTCATTTACTCGAACTACTTGAAATTTGATCAGAAAGATTCCGCAATGCACCAAGATGGGTTTCAACTCAACGACGCATAAAAAAAAAATTCCCAATCGTAATTTATGAATTGCGCGATACAGCACTTCATTAATAAAAAACGACCTAACGTCTAAATAAACAGCGGCCAATTTGAAATATGATAAAAGCACGAGAGACCAGTTTCATCTCAAGAAATTAAATCTGAAGGGTCAGCGAAAAAGACTTTAAATTACACTCGGGTCTACGATAATCCTTCATGAATGCATATGACTCTGTAAAAAAAAAATTTGCTTTCGTCTCCATCGACGATCAGAAAAGCCTCCTAAAAAAAATGTCCTTCCGCATACGAATTTTTTCCGGAGTCAAGAAAAGGGGGAAATTCATTGACGAAGCCATGTAAACCCGGAAGATACCGGGTTAGGAAGGCAGGCAAATCTCAATTCCTCAAAACGGAACCACCACATGGAAGCGTGAGACGGAAGAGAATGGAAGGAGGGTCACGGGGAAGATACAAGGGGGAGTTTGTGTCGGTGTCGGTCGACGACGACGAGGGACGTCGAGAATCGGGCTGCTGCTTCATGTCGAGTACCTGACTCGAGTCACGCGGGTCTTTTTCGACACCGGACTGAGTCTGCTCCGGGTATGTACTACAAGATTATAAGCTCACGCTCGAAAGATATTATCCTCTCAAAACCAGAGAATTATCGCAATACGACTAATTACGATTATCAAAGGCAACGCTGCACCGAGCAAAACAAAAATAAAAAAGATTGATCGTAATAATTAGACGAATGACGACTCTGGGACTTGTTGGTACAAGTCTCAGACTTAAATTTAAGAGAGGAAATACAAAGTATTCGTGAATTAAACTTAACGGAAGCTTCGAAATCCAAGTTCTGCAAATGAGGGGCGTTTTCAGCAGAATCCAAGAAGCAACCAGACATAAATGGCAACAACAAAAAATCCAGTGAAAGATTGTGGAATAAAAGGTAATTACATTTATGGAGGCACGGTAATTCAATTTGCAAAGATAAACCAATACTTCGACCAGGGACTTTTATCGCTGTATTCTTCTTGAAGGCAAGAGCAGACAAAAATCCGAATTCGAAATGAGAGTAACATACAAATTAAAGTTCAGCGAAAATAATCGTGATGCGAGAATAAATACAACGTTTGAATATGAAAAGCTCTGAAGGAATCATCGCTCTCAAAGCAATTTACCGAGTATAATCGTAGTATTCAAGACTGAATTCTATCGCTTCCTAATAAATACTCGTCTCACTTCTCTATTTTACGGGTTCTTTGCAAGTAACAAATATATATTACGAAAATAGATAACTTATGAATTTACTGTAGTACATCCCTTCAATCCTCCCCAGAATTCGACGCAAGAGAAATTTGACGCTCGTTATGCATAATAAAAATTAAAATCTACGTTAAAAGCCATTCCTTCACAAATTTCTTCACGAAAACCATGTTCCTAGAATTTTACGCGGGGGTTTCGGCACAAGAATACTTACAAAAGGTCAATAAAAGTCAATATCAACTCTCATCTAACGTTCAGTAAGGCCTGCTTTCAAAAATGAAATAATAATACAGCACAGCAGTGCAAGTTTCGGAACTTGGCAGCAGCCGGAAGTAGCGGAACAGCAGGCAATAGATTCTTTCTGAGTGCTTTCAATGACGTCAGCAGCAGCTTATGGTTTCTCTGGCTGGGGCCGGGTGAATTTAGGTTCTCTGGGTTTGGGGGCGGATTGTGGCGTTCCCTTTCATCCCTGCTACTCGTGTGAACAGGGTCTCGGGTCATAGTATATCGATTTCTGGAACCCAGAGCAGGACAACGGCAGCGAGGCCGGAAGAGAGATACAGATTAAATCGCACGCAGGATATTTCTGTCGTTTTTAGATATGAATTATACGCAGATCGTGGATTCTTACTACACTACCTAAACCTACACTAATGCACAGTGTAAGGAAAAAAAATGTTTCTTACTTCCTATTCCTGAAAGTTCAGCGGGCTTTGGTTAAAGGACTTAATCCGACCCAAAAGGAAGTACTTCATCGGAGAGGTGAATAAACCCATCAACAGAAGTCGATAAAAAGGCACTTGGTTCAAGAAATCCCCCAACTGAGAATGTCGAACCTGGACGGAATTGCTAATTTTATTTTTGCGTACCCTCGTACCTCTTTCAAAGATTTTGAACTGAATTAAAAGTTCAACATGTATTATTGAAGAACGGAGAAAACAGTCAATCAAAAACAACAAAAAAACCATCAACACCATCAAGCTTTTCTTCATGCAAAAATACATGTTTGCAGCTACATTCCCATCAGTGACTTTATTTATGAATTGGGAAATTCTCGAATTTATGAAATGGGAAGGAAACGTGATTTTCATGCTGTTCATTACTTGAAACAATAAATTAAAAGTGTTAAATCATCGCTAGTGAAAATCGGTGGCAGCCCGAACAAACAGCTTTTAAATCCATCATCGCAGGCACAAATTATCCGTGGTATCACATCATAATTGGTAGACCTTCTCTATAAAAATATTCGGAAGAGAAAACATTCAATGGACAAACGAATGTTTTCTCTGAAGAGAAAACATTTTCTCTAGGAGCAAAATGTTTCCCCGGATGAATCCGGGGAAACATTTTGCTCCTAGAGAAAATTCCTCAGTATAGTACCTTGAGTAGAAAGTACTTGCTGACCTTTTCCTCCTGGAATTTTTTTTTTTCACAAAGCAATACTAAAAAATTAAAAAAAAATTAAAAATCCTTGTCAATAAATTTAGATGATCTTTCACTTCGCGGGTTTATTCAAAGTGAATGGAGAGAACCGTTGAAACTATATTCTGTATTCGAATTTGGGTAAATAATTTCAATTCCGTTCCCACACATTTTCTGTAACCTCCTGTTTCATGACGACGAGCGAATTTTCGAGCCAAAGCAGACGGCGCAAAATCGATACGACCACCACGGTTTAAAAAGGGGGAAAACCAAACAATGATTCCCATCTTTTGCTGAACAATACCAGTTTTTTTTTTTTGTCTCTATCCGGAATCATGGAATATAAAGGTTCGTTTTTCACGTTTGTTCTTCGCCAAAGCGAGAAGAACCGTGATCTTTTTCCGGAGCACGTCTGACGTCATAGCCCAGACGCTTACGCATACGAGAACAAACAGCGGGTCGAGCCTCCCGTCAAGTATTATTAGCGATTGCATTTGTCTGGAAGCGTTGCCAGAAACACGCGAATGACCTCAAACCACCGAGTACTGAACTCGGAATATTAACGATATGAATAAAACGTTTCGTGCATCATTTCTTCAATTTCTTGAAGGGCATTTTACTGGTCTTATTCAAAAAATGTTCGCAAGAATGATTTTAATGAACCGAACATTTCGATGTTGAAAAACTTGCGAAAATCAAGTGCCGCTATTATATAGACTTCCAAGGATTACGATTGGCGATTCAACAGTTCTTCCGGTCAGAAAAATTGTAAGGAGTTCTTTCAATAATAAAATGATACTATATACATGGAACTTCTACGAAAAGCGTTCAAGAAGTATTAAAAAGCCGGCCATTCCGAAGCTTCGAAATTGAAAAACCAAATGCCGCTGCAGATTTCAAATAATTAATTTTATAATCCACAGTCTGGCTTCTTTTCGTTTTGAGCGAACTTCAGCTTCAACATCAGGCATAACTCTCTATATTCATAAACCTTTCATTTCAAAATAATTTTCTGAGCAAGAAAGTGGTCATACAAATTTTCCGAAATTATTCAAATACAGTATCTATTTCCGAATGGACCATGGAAAAATGGCACCGTGGCATTCGTACCGCATTACCTTACCATGAATAGCTGTCATTTCAACAAACTTTTACAGTATAACATTATTTCAACCTGGGTTGGAATTGGCGAAGAATTGCGAAAGAGAGCAAAAATGTTGCAAGGGAAGCAGAAACTTATAGAACTCGGGAGCAAATCCTAAAGCAAGATTGCTTCTCATTTGATTTTTCCATTGCAGCAGCCGTTAAAATAATTTGATAAGCGCAGAAATACTCGAAATATACAATTTTAGATTGTGTCAACTTACTTTTTGAATGTCTTCGCCTAGCGAAATATTCAGATCAAAGAAATTCAGTTAATTNCGAGGCACATCAGCTTCACGGAACTGGTTGTCAACAAGTTCATACTAACGGACACCTTCTTTTGTTTTTGATCGAAATTGTTCATGTTTTTTTTGCTTGAAAAGTGCAAGAACCCTCCGAAAGAACCGTACCCTTTTTTCCTAGACCCACTTTCTCTGAAGTGTCGCATGGGCTTATTATTTGATCCTTTTCGCTGTAAGAAAACCACGTGGAAAATAAATTTTCAGCCGAGCACAAGACGAAAGAGGCACACTCATCATTTAACGAATATCTTATTGCAAAGAGGTATAAAAGGTACAATAAAAAGCATTCCTGGTGTGGTGCTTTATATTTGTTTCAGTCTAATATACTTCGAAAACCATTCAATGCTTGATGGAGAAAACTAGTTTTAAAGGAAGAAAAGGTGGTACGGTAAACTGAGCGGTCATGGATGATTTTTCCTAAACCCTGCTTTCAGCGATTGCCTAATTTCTTTTCAATTCCATGTTTCTCCCTTGAATTAAAAAAAATTGAAACAACAAAAACGCAAATAATGTTGATGCTGCACGCAAAAGAGAAGGTAACCGCATCCGATGTTTACGTTTTCCTGCCGGAAAACGTTTCGTATCGGGTAATATTTATATTTCATTCGTCTGAAACGTGGTTGACTTTGCCAAGTACCCATTTGTATATAGGTTGAAGGATTTGCTGTCAAAAGGATGAGTCGCTTCGTCACGGTCTATGAAACAGACACATTTCGCCAACTGATGGATCATATGATCAAAGTGAACGTGCAATTTTTCGTAATCAAATGCCATGCTTTGAAAATAAGAAAAAAGAGGATATTTTCTGATTAACCTTGGGGTTCTGAAATCTTTTTCGTTCTTCAAACAACTTTTATGAAGTCAACATTATTTTGGTTCCGTTTGGAAAAGGTTCGGAATGATTCCAGTCGACGCGCAGGAGAGAAGGAAAACATGAAAAATTGTTACGATCGAATTTTTAAATTAACCGCACACAGATGATTTTTACCTCAAATCAAAGTTTAATTCATCAAGTCGAAGCTACAGTATTACTTTTCGATTTGAAAGTGCCTAGTAGATTTTTTGTGTGAACACTGCTAAATTGTCCTCAAGACTCTCAAATCCAGTGTTTCCCAACCCGTGGTCCGCAAAATATTTTTCCGGCATGCGGGGAATTTTCTGCAACATAATGAATTTATCAAAAGCAACAATGAAAGTCTGTTTTCTTTACCCAAAATTTTGCAAAAATAATCGCGGAGTTGAAATTATCTGGTGACTAAATAAAAGTTGGCTTTTCTCGCAACTAACACTTCAGACAAATTTTTGCATGCTGAAATATTTTTTTTTTCATCCTGAGAAACCTTTCTAATTTTTAGAAGACATTTCCATTGCTGCTTCATTGATTTTTTTTTTACAAAAAAGCAGGAACTTTTCAATTACCTGCCATAAACTCTTACAAACAAAACTTTTTTGAGCCTGCAAAACATGTGTACGAAACTTTGCTAGCCCGCAGAAAAATTTTGAGGAATTTGCCGGTCCGAGAAAATTTTTTTGTGGAAATTTGCCGGTCAGCAGTCCCAAAAAAGTTGGGGAACACTGCTACAATCTGTTTTGGTTTTAATAAAATACCCCTCATCCTCATCAGAAAATGGTGACCTGTTTGGTGAAGCTAGAATAACATGTGCACCTGATTGGTTATAAATCCGAACTTTCAGAAAATTTTGAAAAATGTTGATGCCCAGGTGTGGCTGGGCACCTCCAGCTTGCATTTGAATAAACGTATACGATTCCCAAACGTCAAGTTCACTGTGGCTAGTTTAGTCATGCTCGATCTTTCTTCGTTCATCGCTGCATAAACGTCCGGATTTATCTGCGGATTCGATCTTGGTGCTTCTCATGAGGAAATGATGGAACTATAATTTTTTTTTTCCTGATGATGAAACCTGCCCCTGGCTCCAGACGACTTTTATGTTCTTGCCATCAGGACTCGACTCGGATCAAGACTTACAATAGCGGCTCACTTCAAACGGAGTAGATGCGTAAGTTTGCACTGGTTATCAAGTTCTCCACTTGCATTCGAACGCGGCACAAAGCTGCAAAAATAATGCCTCCAAAGAGTTGTTACTGATTCAACGATTCATGAAGGGATTGCTCAACAGTACTGTAATTCGCTTGAGTACTTGCAGAACCTGACGACGAGGAAGAGGAAGAACGTCTTGCTCAACTCATTACAATAACTGATTTTTTTAAAACAACGCGGATAACATCAGCTCAAATTTGATCTACTTAAAAATCTGAGCGAAAAGATGCTTAAAGCTCTCATCCGAGAAAACGAGTCCCTAGATTTCTTATTATCTCAGAAAATCTGTTCCAACTCTTTCGAATATCAGAAGAATTTTCCGTGTCTTTTTAAAAATTTAAGATAGCTGGGGTGCTTTTTGTGCTTTTTGTTAACCCTGCGGCGAGAATCTGAACGTGCAGCGATAGTAAAAATTAATCATATTCAAATAAAAACGTATTCATGAACTTCCGCCATGCCAATACTGTGATTGAATTTTTGGTTCATCGAATTTGCGAGAAAAAAATTCTCGTGATTTAAACTAGCTGATTCATGTAATTTAAACAAAGATCATTCTGATTAATGATCCGAGCAATTTCTTCACACTGACATCAGAGTTAATTGTTCTTTCAAAGCAAAAATGCGGATCATCGCACAGAGAAGTTTGGTATCCTTTTGAGAAAATCTCAAGAACGAAACTTTTCTTTTTTGTTGTTACTGAATTAAATCATGATTGTGCAACTCAGCCTCAGGGAAAACCTCGAAGCTGGAACACCTGAGCCAAAGGAAAATCAGCTTCATCGAAACCCACTCCATCTGATACCCCGAGGCAGTAGTTATCCACCAACACATAATTTAAACATACTAATTGCTTAATTATAACAGCAAAATGTACTCGTTCGAAAGGAAGGTCATTAGAAATGGATTGGATAACGTCGTTATTTCCTCTTTGAACTTTCTATTGGTACCTGCCGCGTTTTATGAGCAGTGATGCAGTCATATCTCTAAAAATCCTGAAGGGTAAACGCTTTTATTTTTGAATAAATTGACATCCAGTCCCTGAATCGGCACTCTTTTCATGTCGAGGGTTCATCTAATCTTGGGCTATAATATGGCTCCAGTGATGCTCAATAATTAAGATCATCATTAAAGCTTTTATCTTTGAATAAATTGCCATCCAATTCCTGAATGTGCACCGTTTTGGTGTTGGGTTAATCTATTCTTGGGCTATAAGTTGGCTCCAGTGACGTCCAGTGATTAAAATATTACCTAAAGCTTTTACTAACAATAAACTGAACAAACTGACTAAACTAACTAATTTGAATAAACTGACATCCTATCGGAATGGAAATCCTTTCAATGTTCAGGTTCATTTAATCTTGAGCTAAAATATGGCGCAAGTGATACCCATTAATTGAAATCTCAATCAAAGCTTCTATTTTTGAATAAAGCGAAATCCAAATACCGGAAAGGAAATTTTTTTTCAATGTTGAGGTTCATTCAATCTTGGGCTATAAGAGGGCTCAATAAGTGATGCACAAAAATTAAAATCTTGATTATCAATCTGTGAAGCCTTCTTTCGAAAGTCTGATGGAGAGTGACTCTCTTGCTGCACCCCAGTGCAAGTCAAAATTTCTTCAACGCAGAAAGAACAAAATTAGCTCCCTTTTTCAAATTTTCCTTGAATTTCCACGATTGGCGGAAATTCAATGGCGAAAAGCGCTAGGATGAAAACGACGGTCTCTCTCTCGAGTGTTTCAGATGCAGCACACGGCATGCAATTAGCCAAACACATGCACACGCAACTCGTGGGATGAGGGTTCACCAGGTCAAGCAAGTAAAGCATGTCGGGTCACAGGGAGATGGAGGCACAAAAAAAAGAAGAAGAAGAACAAAACTGCAATGAGGCACACGACCCGAAACTCACCTTCCGCTGAGCTCTTTGCTGGCGCTCGGTCATTTCCGTGCTTTCGCCGGCGGAATTGTGCTCTTCATCCGCCAGCGGCTCTGTGATTTTCACTTGCTCTTGCGACATGACGTGCAGGGTTAGTTTTCTTTTTTTTGCACAGCACAAATCTTCCAAAAAACAAAACCACAAAAAAAAGAGCGCGATTCGCGCGTGTCAGCAAAGGGGCAAACTGGCGCTCAACTACCACTCTTTAGGCTTCGATAAGCACGTGCTCGCGACGTAAGCAAATTTGAGCCACTCTCATTCGCGCTCGCAGCAGGGAATTTTGCACAAGTACCCTGGTGCTTGTTCTTGTTTTTTTTTACCAGCGTTTGTTTGGAGATTAAATTAAGCCAAAGTCCATAAACAGACGAAGCATGCATAAATATATATATATATACATCGCGTTTGTGGCCGAAAGCAGAGCCCAAGGACTCCTCGCGGTTGCGCAGTCGCGTGATGAAATGTTCTGCTCAAGACGAGGTTACTCGGGCGGGCTGAAGTTGAGGGGGGGGGGGAAATTATTCAAAAACCTTGTCAATTTGAATACTATCGACTTGAGTACGAGGAAAATGAATACGTTATCGTGGGCATCTAGTCATTGAATTTAGATATGTGTATAGCGGAAGGGCTGGGGTAGCATAAGCTGCCAAGAATAAAGCAGGGACTCTTTTCATTATTGCGTTTATATATGGTTCACTTCTGGTTTTGTTTTCGACACATCACATTAGAAAAGAAAACTTGACGCATTGCTTCGAATTGAAAAGCTTTTTTTTCTTTCCAATTCAAAATTGAATGCTCGTAAAAGAGGTGATTTACTGGACAAGATCTTCCCATTTTCCTCGACCTGGAGATCATACGCAGGAATATTGAGAAGGACTTGTTTCGAAAGAGATCGTCTGAAAGTGATGATTGCATGTTTTCTATTATAATTATTCGTATCCAAGGACCTGAAAATTAAATGATATTCACATTCACATGTGAAGCTAAAGTTTGGATGAGACTTGCTTGATGAAATCCACATTATTATTTTTTGCTTCCTTGCATTCCCAGTGCGCAAGAAGTTCTCTCATTTATATAAAAATTACTCAAGGGCTAAAATATTATTTCCGTCCCAATCAGCCATCCAAACTAAATTTTATTAATGTTGGCTACAGCTTATTTTACTTGAGGCATCTGAAAATTGGGCCAATTCTTGGTTTATACAAATTTAAGATGTGGCGAGAACATAAATTTCGTTCCGACTGAAAATTAAATTGAGGCGTGTTGAAATCAGTTTCATCCATAAATTCAAGAAGATGATAGGGTGGAAGATTGCATCACAGGTTTTGAATCAGCAGTAGTTGTTATAAATACATTATAGTAAAAAAAATTGGCCCAGGATTTCAATCGAAAAAAGCCAATTTATGGCTGACCCGGATTTGAATAATGTAAATTATACATTAGTTTCTGAATTCATAACTATTCCAGAATTCAAAAATCTGTGAGACATTTTTTATCCACAATTGGATGCCAATTCCAAGAGAAAAGAAGAAGCCCAATTTTTGTATGTTTACATGTCCTTTATTGGCCTGTCCCGTTATAGTGATGTGAGAAAAGTGCATGTAGAAAATGAAAAGAGAAAAGAACAGGGCACTGAATAGAACGGATATAAGCAATGTAAGTGAAAAACGTGGTCACAGAACACAATTCATTTCTGTACTACTACTATTACCGTACTACTCACGTGACCTTTTGAGCGCTATATATAGGTTCCCAGATTGCGTAATATCGATCCATCCTTTGTTAATATCCGGTGAATGGTGTGTTTCTGCCTAAAAATATCGCTGGAGTAACTTGGCAAATGAATTCTTTCGGGGCCTATAGGAAAGTATTGCCTGTCTCCATTAATTGCATTTTCATACCCTAATAGAACCCCCCCCCCTCTCCCCATGAAATAAATTCAAAGAGCAAGTTTTCGGACCCTCAGAACATCGAATTATTTTGTTTTTTCAATTTTTCGATCATTTCACCCTCAGGCAGTTATTTCTTTTTTCAACAAAACCCTGATATTATAACGGGCAGGGATGGCCCTGTTTCCTCACGTTGGCGCAGGGCTGTTGAAGTCTTATTGATCCTATCCCTTTTCTGAGCAGTGCGCTTCCTGGTGCCGCTGCATTACTACGTATAGCGTGCCCATATTCTTCAGGGCAAAAACGTCTCACTTACACATAAAAAATAAAAAAACCCATTTTCTCCAGCTTGCAGGGGGGCTATAACAATGTCTGCTGGTGACATACCTGTATTTTTCTTGACAATTTTCATTACGTAATGTATTATTGTGGCGGACTCATTAGCTTTGTAGAAAGATACTGTCCCTGACAAATCGGTTTGAATTAACCCATGCGAAAATTTTAAAGGGGCAACAATATTAAATTTAAAATCTTGGAAAATGCGTGATTACTGCACTACTGCAAAACTGGTTTTGGGCAAACTCTGCGGTTCGAAAGAATGTTTTATGACATATTGAAAGTTTGATTTTGACTACCTTGCGAGTGTTGAGTTTTGTGTTTTATATTGACGTCACGCGGTAACAGAACTACTACAAATACACGCAAATATTGATACCCAAGGGCAGCATCAATAGAGAAACCGGTGCTCCCTTCTTTTCTGAATTCTTTTAGAAAAAAAAAGAATTATGTATAAATGCTCTTTGACTTTGGTTTGGAGTCCAGTTGAGCTTTCCTTCAGCTTCTGCCTTCACAATTTGTTTACAGAGCACCAACCCATTTTGATTTACAGTGAGGCCTCCAGATGCAGATGTAATTGGTGCATCAAGAGTGTCCCTAAGTTGAAATTTCCCTCAGTCAAGTCTTGTTTTCCCATAGATTTACATTGTATAATTTTTAATTGGTATTTTATGGAAGAAATATTCATCAGAGGTCCATGAAAAAAATTCGTTTGCCAATTGACTTTGATTCAGTGAATGTCTCTCAACTCAATAACATTTGGAGCATTGAAAAGTCTAACTCTGTACAGTGAAAATTGAAATATTGGCATATGTAAAAAATAACATTCAAGTCGCAAAGAGAGAAGGGAGTCTCAATGCTATAGATAATTTTTTAATTAGCTGCATTGATGAGAAAAATCACGGGAGAAATAACAATGTATTTTTCTTGCATGAATCTTAGGGTTGGAAATAACTATTTCTCGCAATTCTGCCTGATAAAAGTCACTTTTCTGGAAACTTATATTGGCTATTTTATCATGCTATGTCTGCATGTTGAGTCAGTGTCCGCACGCTGGGCCTTTCTTTACGCCTTTTTAATTGAAAAATAAATGTCCCTACGTTGAATTGTCTGCACGTCAAGGTGCCCGCATCTGGGGGTCTCACTTTAAATCAATTTCTTGGGCGTCGCTGAGGCACATTGGTTGTCACTCGCGCCACGTGCAACAGGCAAGAAAACACTGAAAGTCCTTTCACGTCGTCGATCAGTTAAAGAAATCAGCCACTGGCTGGCAGCACCGAATCAGCTGTGTTATACGTAGTCTAACCATCGAAAATCCCCCCCGGGGGAACAATGCAGCTCCTGCAGCCCGCGCCATGGACTGACCATGCCCCGTACATACATACAAGGAGAAAACCTGGCCAGGGGAAATGCTGCCCCATTCACTGGAGGGAGTGGGTGCAGCTTTCCCGCCAAAGTCTGTTGTGCTGTGTGCTGTACAGAGTGGTTGAAAATAAATTCAGGAAAGCGAGATTTCCTGGGGCTGAAACTCGGCAGGGTTACGTAATGCGAGATTTTTTCAAGCAGAAGAGAGTACAGTATTGTATCTCCAAAACTGAGTGTAGATACAGTATACAGGTACTCGTACTCGTGTATACCTGTATATAAAGGGTCATAAGTACAGTGATGGATTGGTAAATTTCACGGAAGTGCTCATTACCAGGAAAGGCTGTAAGTGTAAGCCAAGTCTTACAAATGGACTCTCTCTATAAAGATTTTCTCTATTCATCGATTTTTTGTTGCTGCTCCCATAAGGTTTTCTCCCCATGTTACTGGGGGTATCTGCAAGGAAATTATTTCTACAACGAACTTTTGCTGGTCCCTTGAATTCTGTTGTAGAGAGAGAGTCAATCTGTTTAAGGCAATATAAAGGGAAGCTTCCTCATAAATTCTTGAATAAATTCGCAGATGCGAATTGAATGGAAAATATTATTCTGTGGACCAGCAAATAAAAATTCTGTGGACCTCCACCATCGCCGGTGTCATCAGAACGTTATACCGAGTCAGTGAAAATAAATTCTGTAAAGGAATATTCTACGGCGTGAAATCCTGGAGCTTTCTTTCCTACTCTAATTACTCAAGTTAATTATTTCAATTGAAATAGAAGAGCGTTCCCTTCAAAATTAATAGCACATAAAAGGGGCAATAGCTGAGTGACGCTTCGGTTAATTAAAGTGATCCATTTCAGTCGGAAGTTCATTTTCAAAAATATCTATAGGATGAGTGATGAACGGCTATTTAAAGGAAGCTTCCTCGTAAATTCTTGAATAAATCACAAAATGAATGCATATTTGCCGTTACAGCAATGTTTTAAAAGATCAGCTAATACTCTCGAAAAGCAAGGAGAGCAGTACAAATTTGGATTCGCATCGGAAAGAAATTGCCTCCTGCCAATTGTGGAAATATTTTTCAGAATCCGTTCCCAATACAAACATCATGTACATATTTGAGACTCACAGAGAAGACATAAAACATGAAAGACTCTTTTACGTATAATTTAAAGGTTCAACAAACTCGAAACATTAATTTGAGGCATATATGGGACGAGTCCTGGCTTGAAAATAGGGACACAGTAATAAATTAGAGCTGATTCTCTGCATTTCTGAAAAGGTAATAATTTTCTTGCGTAAAGCGCGGGTTTGTGCTTGAAGACGACTTAGGCATTATTTTGTATCCTCTTTGATCAACAATCTAAATTACAACATGAAACTCAAGCGTTTTCAACCCCAATAATGAGGGAGACGTAAACATTTCAATTATTTATCCAATTCAAGGATTCGGAGGAAGTGTCTGCTTTCAAATTGAAAAAAAAAAGTATAC